TATTCTATATTAACTAGTTAAGGAGATAAATAGGGTCCAGGAGAGTTATATAAGATTACTATATATAAATAAGGGGCTATCTAAGTTTAATCTCTATAGTATAAATAGTACCTAATCTATCTAGGATATTTACTATAGTAGAATTAAATAAATCAGTATAATACCCTAAAAGCTAAATAAGATAAATATAATTTATAAAGGGGAGAGATTACAGTAATTACTTAATCTAAATAAATAATAAATAAGCTAGGGGATATTTTATTAAGGCTTATTTATAAAGTTCTTATATATTAAGTAAGAAAAGTTAGAGGTATTTATACCTATAGAATAAGCACTAGTAGTAAAAGCTTACTTATTTACCTATACTTATTAGTTAATTCTACCTTTATTAATTTAATTATTTATATATACTATAAATAGTAATATTTACTATAATTCTTTATATACTACTTAATGCTTGCTAATTACTTAGGTAACTTACTTATTAATATTATTAAATAAAATTAATCTAATCATACCTCTTATATATTAAATAAAGAATATACTAAGCCACCTCCACCCTGATTTTAAAGTAAAGGTATAAAGAATAATTTAGTTAATTCTATAGATCATTAATAAAGAAATAGTAATATCTAGATACTAGATTAGGTAATATAATATATTTTAATAATAGTTAGATCTAGGGTTATACTACAGGTGCTGACTAAGTCCTGTAGGTAGCTGCTAACTAAGAACTCTATAGATAAAGTTTAATCCAGGCAGGGGAGGATGTAATATTAATAGGTATATATATAATTTTAATAATATCTATAAGATGTATAACAATATCTACTAGTTATTATTAATTATATATCTAGTGTTTAGGCCTCTATTCCTTATAGTTTAGATTAAAATATAAAAGGAATAGGAACTCCTCAATATCAATAAGACATATATAGGGTGGCCGCTGGCCTACCCCCTACCCTCACATAATTCGGAGGCTTCTTCCTCACTGTGATGAATGAACATCCCAATAGGATAGCTAGATTCTAATAATATATAGGAACCTGAAGAGTATATAATAGATATAGAAGCTCTTAAGTACTACCTTATATCTAAGAATCTATAATCTATAAGTACTACTATAAAGTAACCTAAGTAGTATAGGAAAAAGTCTTAATTTAACTACTATATATATAAAAAAATAGAAAAGCAGTATACAGGCTGTGTAAATATACCCTCCTACCTATCTAGTCTATATATTATTTAAAAACTAAGCTAATTAATTATATAGTAAATCACAGAGGACCCTAGAGTAGAGGGGGGTAATATAGCCTATAGGGGCAGAGTAATAAACTGCTCTAGAGAAGGAGATGATAAAGAAGCTAGGGCTAGAGGAGGTAGAGTAGGGGCTAGGGCTATAGGTATAATAACCTAGACTGCTAGTATAGCCTATATATCTAATACTACTAGGATATAATCCAAGGTATTAGTAATTACCCTCTTCTGGAGGGGGGGGGTATATATAAAATACTATATAAATATAACACTATTTACCTAAAGGTATCTATAAACTATTAGCAAAAATCTATAAGAAGGAAGTTATATAACTCTAAAATCTAAAAGAAAAAGTAAAATTTAACTCTAAATTACTAAAGGAAGAGCTCATTCTATTAAAATCTATAAGATATAATTATAATATAAAAGAAACCTATAATAAAAGACTATAAATATACTAAATACTAATAAAATATAGCTAGATTAATAGTAATATAGAAGAAGGGGATACTTATATAGATATACTTATGCTTTTTTAGAGTACAGTAATTATAGGCCTTTTATATATAACTATTTACTATGAAATAGTTATAGTAGTAGTACTAGGGGTTATAGAGCTTTACCTAAAGGTATAAAATATAGGGAACTCTGTAAGGTATTATTAGCATATAATTCTATGAAATCAGGGTCTTACTAGTATAGATAATATTAATTCTCTCTCTTATAGACTTCCTCTCTTTTATAATAGGGGAGGGAAATATATTAATAAGTAAAATTATAGTTATATAATATAAAGAATCTATATCTAATAAACTTTAGATAATCTTAATAGCAAAATAATAGAATTATAAGATAAAGAAGATAATAAAGCCTAGAAAATATTAGAAATATAAGATAAAGGAAAATAATAAGATATAAAATAATGGAATTATAAGATAAAGGAAATACTAAATTATAAGAATAATAGGATTATAAATAAAAGAAGATATTAACAAAGCTATTTAATTTAGATAAAGGATTATTAAATATATATAAGAAACTATTTAATAAAGAGAGTAAGACCTATAAATCTAAACTAATTACTTAATGTAGAACTTACTATCTAAATTTAATTATTTAACTACTAGATATAGGTTAAGAAGTAATAAATAGAGTGAGAAAGCTATAGAAGATAAAGAAGAATCTATATTACTAAACTAATTTGAAGATCTTACTAAGCAGGCATCTTAATAGTACTAATAAGGGAAGAGAAGAAGGAGAAGTTCTCTAGAGATCTATAAATCTACTTATACTATAGGAAATATATCATATCTTTACAGGTCTATAATAATCACTATTAATTATTTACCTATAATAAAGCTAAAATAAATACCACAACCTATAATAGTAATAGAATATATTACTTAATAATAAGAGATTTACTTCTGCACCTTGAATAATTATAGAGAGATAATATCTATCTAAAATAATAAAGCCTTTTGTATTCCTAAATTAGGAAGTATTATAGCTTTAAGGGTGAAGCCTATAGAGAAGGGAGGTAATTATTAAGGGCTATAGTAGACTGTAAAGCTGCTGTATGCAGCTAACACAGATAGTGTGGACTATTAGATCATGTGATCTACTGTAGATATTCTATAAGTTATAGAGTATTCTGCAACTCAGCAATTAGTTCTCCTTGCTCAGGTAATATACAGTTATCTTGCTCCCATCACACTGGTCTTACCAGTTGACCTCAGACCTTAATGGCCGACCTTACAGTAATGCTGTCATCTTAGAGAATATTTATTAATATCCTAACCCTTTACTACTTCTCTGCAATATACATACTAAGAATAGAAACTCTAATATATATCCTAAAGTGCAGGAAGGAAACTCTTAGTTAGATAGCCTACTATATAACTAGTTATATATATAAGTATCTACTAATAACAGACCTAAAGTATATATTTATATATCTAGTAACCCCCTTAAGGTCCTAAATAGCAGCTAATAGTTAAAAACCTATAAGTAAAAGTTATAAAAATTATATAGATAACTATAACTATATAAATAGGTCAGAGGTCCTTCTACAACTACTATAAATAAGAATTCTTTTTTATTACTTTATTCTTACTTTACATCTATATTAGTTAATAAATACCTATAATTTCTGTTATAGCTATTCAAGGGCACACTACCATACTATATATCTAAATCAGAGCTGGGAGTGTCTATATATATCACATAACTAATATATTATAAATCTCAGCTAGCTGATTCTACTGTGCTTCCTAAGACCTCTTAGAAAGGCATACTATAGTTATTAGAAGAGAAGGACCTTCTATTAAGGCTAAGGAGAGATGAGAAATAACCTTAGTTGGATGTAGTAAGGATATTTTTAGACCAGTTTCTAGGTCAGAGCCCTAGTACTATTTAAGTATTTTAGAGCATGACCCTTAAGAATAGAGAATATTAAAGATAATAAACTTTTAGTCTCTTAACCTTTTTTTTCTATTTCCAAGCCTACATAGTGTGATATGTGGTTGTGGAATAATAGAGTTAGGGATAGGATAAGGCACAATGATTAGATAAATAGCTAGTGGATGGATAAACAGGGCTATAAGTCGTTGCATCCCTGGGATAAACTAGAATATCCTAAGTATTACTGACTTCTGAACAGGGAACTAATTCCCTAAGAAAACTTCTCTCTTATTCAGGAGGGCTTTCTACTAGTTAGGATACTACTACAATCAGTAACTGAAAGTTTCCATCCTAGTCTATAAAATCCTTAATGTTCGCGCAATATGTATTAGCCTTAGGATACGACTCACAATATAAAATGTGGATATGAAAAACTTAGATGCAGGGACTACCTGGGAAATATTGTTCACATGATTCTCTAATCTTCTGTTTCTATTACTCAAGTAGTAATGTCCAATAGGCAACCAAATTCTAGTCATGTGGAGAGAGTTTAAGTAACAAACTGATTACTTAAATATCTAGATACATCATTTCCAGCATATATCTTGCGAACTAACTTGCTTAAACTGATGCTCTTTTCCTACTCCTCAGCTTCCTGATGTTGAAATTGATGGCTGTCACAACTTCCACGATCAAAGGCCGCTTCCAATGCGCTGTCCCGCGCAATTTATTTGATATTGAGCTTGAGGGACCAGCTAGATACATGGCCACAGTCACAAGAGATCGCTGTTAAACCMTTCATAAACTTCTGCCCTCTATTGCTGTGGTGGCTATGTCAATACTCCAATTGGATTTTTACCGGTCACATTTGCGCTTTCAATTTTGCGTAAGCCATTCCCAGACCCCTCTTCATGAGAACCAATACTCCTTGCCGCCCAGTATCTTCACTCCAACACAGTATGCCTGTCCGCCTCTTTCACTTTTCCATTCTCCGAACCCATATAGTGCGGTATGTAGTTCACAACTTTGAGTTGGAAGCTTATTCTTGCCAGCCTTACTATAATATCAAAGCCATGAACGTAGCAGTCTCTTGGATAGTTAGTGACGCTAGCCCTTTATGCTTGCGTACAACTGAGCTGCTACCCCTTCGTGAACTAGCCATGCCGACGTTTGCACCCGCACACGGTAATGAAAAAGAGCCAGCTCCGCGTCTCTGTCTTCTTTCTTCAGTAATATGAAATACTATGAACTCCGCCCACAGGAAAGAGTGTTTCCTGGATGAGAGACCTACGGAGAATTCTGTTGATGCCCCCTTGTAGGGGCGTACTATTGTTTTGGGCTTTCTAAACTGAGTCCTCTTCTACCCTCTTCTTCAGCGCTAGGAATTCCGCCTCCTTTTTATCGATCTCCTCTTTCATTGCCGCCCATTCCACATTATACTGGTTTAGCTGCTCCATCTTGCTGTTCACGAACAGTTCAACTTCAGGGCCGGGAACTGTCGCGAGCTCATCAATGGAAGGTAGAAGCTGTCGAATAGCGGTCCAAGCCCGGCTGTCGGGCGATTCGAAGCAAGAGTAGATCAACTCATGAAACCAGAATTTTCCGTCCTTCATGGATTCGTGCATGAGGGTCGCCATACTGGGCCTTGAGAGACCTTCTGATCTTTTCTGCTCCTCCTCCTCCAGTACGTTAACGAACTTCTTAAGGAGCGAATTGTACTTAGAAATATCCACATCGTCCCAATCAAACGGCTTCTTCAGAAGTAGCCACCGCGGGGGCGAGTAGAGCATCTGAAATGGCGCTGTATAAGCCCATTCCCAGTCGAGGACGGCGACTATCTTCAGATCCTGTGCGTTGTTGACGAGTATATTTCCAAGCCGGAAATCGTCGCAAATTAACTTGAACGGACCATGGTCATACTTGCTGTCAACGAACTGGGGTACAATGGCTTTGAATATCTTATTATGGAGATACTTGCGACGAGCATCTTCCATATCATCGACTGAATTAGGTTGGCCCCACAGATGCTGCATGTCTTGTTCGGCGACATCCTGTATGTATGTATGTATATATCTATACGATTTGTTCTAATACTGCAAGAATAACCCGTTCAGTTCAGTTTTATTTGATTCGCGGTCCCAACCTATCCTACTCGATGGCTATGCAAGAAAATAGGGCTCCGACATTTTCTCTGTCAACGCGGAGTGCCGAATATCCGATATTGAGCCTGCCGTTGTCTGAGAGCCACCTAGACCGTGTAACATGTTCTTCTCGCCTGCGCACTCTTCAGAGACCTCCGCCAACAGTATCTGGCGAGACCGGGTTGGGGATTGGAAGGAGGAGGAGACGTGAAAACATCTTGAATTCACCCAGTACGGCTCGCAGGGGTGCCAGTGATTACAATTGAATTACTTTCGGGTCCAGAATATGCTTCATTCTTTTTACGCAGGTGGCTTGACTTATCGAGTAGATACACAGATTCTGTACGTCCTGATCTTCCGACCGGTCCCATGCACTCCCAATCGTGGTTGGCAGTATTTATTTTCTCTAATGAGTCAGGGCCTTCTTTAGCTCTAGGTGGAGGATGCAGTCTCATGGGCCGGCGGACGGGCATCGGTAATGTCGCCTTCCTTACATATCCACTCCGCCACAATCCTTGACATCAATCATCTCTGCCTCTTGCATACTCAGTCTCTCATCAGCTGCCCGTTTCTTAGATTCTAAATGCCGATTGTAGGCCAGTAGATAATCGCTGGTGGTCTGGAAACTTCCCCTGAAAGAAGAATTCTTAACGAAGACAGTCGGGCTCTGGCCCATCAAAGGCTCGGTATCCGCATCGAGCAGATAGGCCTTGTCCGTCTTGACGCTTCTCGAAATTTCGGCCGCCTTCACCTCCACATAGGCCCGAATCTGAGCAGGCGAGATGTTGGCACTCGCAACAATCTTGAGAGTCTGAATTGTCGCTTCAAGGTTTGACATTGAAATATAGTAATTATTGGCCTTCCGCAACTCCTCACCCAACTTCCAATGACATTCTCCCGCGATTATCACAGTTTTCCAGTCGATCTCGCAGGTGAGGACCCAGACTGGCCCATCTGGGGGTTTTGTGTCGGATATGTAGAATTGGTTCTGCTGCTCTTTCTCATGATCGGCTGCAAATTTCTTGGTCCAGCTTCTATTCGCACACAGCATTCCGTGCCATGCATCCTCCGTGCCTTCCTTTCCGAGCGGGAGGATGTAATGCACAAATTTGGCATTGATTTTGCAATTTCCGCCTTTTGATCCGATTTCAAAGTTGTTTTCTATAAGTCGCGTTGTATTAGGTCCTTGGACCGTCTTTGACTTAGCAGAATTGGCAAACACGGCTTGCGCCAGTCGGTATGGAACATCGGCCGTACTCCCGCCGTCTAGTACAAAGCTCATTGGATAGCCCTCTTCACTCAAATGGCGGGCCACTTCTCTGTACATTTCGTGAGACGGAACATTTCCCTCTTCCACAACGTTGGACGGATGGAGCCAAAGACCAGTCAGCGCACTACTTGATGTGATCCTCCCGTGAGAATTATCTGGCGCTGAAACTTTTTCGGCCTTTTCCTTAATTTTGTCGACGGACTCTTCTAAAAGAGATGCAATGTTCTTTGTTGAGGGGTCATTGTTGTCGTCTGCGTCAGGATGAGGAACGAAAATCTCATCTCMATCTTCAGAGGTTCGCGTGAAGCCTTCTGCCACATTCTTGACGGCTTTGAATGCATCGCCAATGGCTGCGCTGTTGTTGATGACCCATCGGGCAGCCGTGGTGAATGTGGAGAAAGCTCCGAGCGCTGTTGTGATGAACATTTCTGATATGGGAGCAGCAGAGATGTACAATTCTAAAATTGATATCCAAAACGGGTTCTCTTTAGATGATACCTCGACATCACAGTGTTTCATGGATGTCGTCTTCTTATAGCGGTCGGTGACCACTGCAATTATTCATTCATGACTACTGCATGATGATATGACTGGTGAGTGGTGACATCACATATCACATCCAAATGTAGAATTTGAATTGCGTAACTAATAATTCTCAGTCGTACGTATTCTGCTTGGAATATGTTATTATTTGCAAATTTGCATGTACAACTTAACTGAGGATACAGTAATGCATGGGAAAGTGGTGATATCACATCACACATGTGTCTTAAACATAATTTGGAATTCTAAATGTCAGTAGGCGTGCGCCGCATGGGGTCAGATCCAGATCTACGTAATGGGATGTATGTTAGAGAAACGATGTCGTTTGCGGCACATACTGACGCTGCTTTGGTTGAGAACTAGGGTATCCATGTAGGGTATCCATGTATAGTCTAGTGACAATCATTCACGTCATGGGATATATGCTATAGCAAAGATTGCCGTTTGCGGTAGGAAGTGACGTTGCTTTGGGTTGAGAACTAAGGTATTCGTGGGCAGCCTAACTGACAATCACAGACGCAAACAACCAGCCAGCTTCTACCCCGCTTGGTAAATATCAGAGCTTGCCTGACTGCCCGCTATTTCTCCTGTCAAGACCTACTATCTAAGTTCGTCCTGTTTGAACGAAGCAGACAGTTCTCTGAATCCTGAAGAATTTCTCAGAAGGCAGACGCCCAAAACCAAAACTAAAGCTGAAACCATGGCTGACGGACCGCCTACTCCACCACCGCGATATTTGCTTGATCTCCAAAATTGGAGGAGAGTTGACTACGATCATATAGAAGAGCGTCCTATCGATTATGGAATCGTTTCCTACACCTGGGGGAGGTTGATAGACCAAACCCGGACCGTCGCCGACGATGAGAAACCGGAGCATGTTACGTGGAACATTCCTTACGTTCCATCGTTACCGTTGAGTCGGGCAAAAGCAGTTATGAAAACTATGGGGAAGAGATATGTGTGGTGGGATTGGATGTGTGTACCGCAGGCCGCTGGCGGCCATCAGCTTCAAGGTGAGGACGCTGAAATTGCGGCACATGAGATTGCAAATCAAAGGTGTGTCTATTCTCTATACGAGGTACGAATTAGCTAACGCCGAGGTCCCGACAGGAACATCTACAAACGTGCAAAAGCCAGTATTGTTTGGCTCCACGGCATAGAGTGGGCTCATTATCCACTCCTGGCTTCTTTTCTAGAGGGCAAAATGCGATTGCAGTCACAGGACCACACCAACTTTCGTGGCGTGGTATCCGTGACAAAGTTCATCCTTGAACAGATCCAAGCAGAAGAGCCATGGCTCACATCTGGTTGGACTTTGCAAGAGGGCATCCTGCTTCCTAACGCGCCCCTCGTGGACTCCAAGGGCTTGAAACTACAGAACACAATTTTCCCAGAAGGTGGAGCAGCGTCTGTTGCTTCCATTACCGCCACTGTAGTCCCTTTGGCGTCCCGGATAGGTGACGCCTTTAGGGACTACAGCGAAAAAGAGTCCTTTGCGAACGAGGAGTATATCGTTAGATTCATTCAGGCCCATGATGATAACTACGAGTTCATGGCGCGTTTCCTGGCAGCACTTATCCGCTCCGGATTTGTTGGATACAACTCAGGCGCACCACTTTTCCTTCTTGCTGGAAAGGCCAGCCGCAAATTCTCGAAACCGGAGGATGAATGCTGGGCGCTGATTGGTGCCATGGATATCAACGTCCCTAACCCCCAGTACTATAATGGGCTCCAAATGGACCGAGTAATGTCCATGTTCTTTGAACCGCTTTTGGAGAGATACCAGTGGCGCCTATTCCTAATTGGTAGAATGATGGACGATGACTGGCGCACCAAGTCTTGGCCTCGACGAGTGGTTGAAGGACATGCCCTGCCATTGGAGATCTACTTTAGTGTGAGCTGGGAGGAAAGGCTGCCGGTATTGAGGTTGGACCCAGAGATACCCCGCAAACTGCACATGACACCTCATCAAGAAGAGAAGACCATTCAGTTAATCGACAACGAGCAGCATGTACTCTGCCGACGTTATAAGCAAAGCACCTATCAAGACGGATTCGTTCGACTGACAAAGATAGAGGAGGAGTTCACCAAAGAGTCTTTATTTCTGAAAGTCGCATCTCTAGAGAGTCTTAACAAAGGTGATAACAAAGGGCTTAGAGAGGGATTCCGATGCATTGAAATCCAGCGAATCACTGACAATGAAGGGCGCTTTTGGGGTGTTGCTGACGTTTGGAAAGGGGGAGAGCTGGCACCGGGCGAACAACGCAGTTTTTATTATAGAGAGACAGCCCACTTCGCACTTTGGTAGCTTTTATCGTATAAATGTGCGTTGTGACGAGTAATGCTGAATCTTTGACTTAAGACTTCCCTTTTTCATGAAGAATGCGCTGCCATCGCAGTGTCGAATGTGCAAACCAGCCAAAGTTAACAAAATCTGCGACCGGCAATAACATGAAACTAAAAACAAAACAGAAATCAAATCAATTTAAAACAGGACGATTAGTACAGCAAGCTGAGAGCCAGGTGACCCAGACATAGGACCACTGGGGAGTTGCTGCAAGGGTATCGTCTAGGAGAACCATGGCCTGCACACACTGTGGCCTCTGTATGTTCCTGCATTATTCTGGCCAGCCCTGATCTATCAGTCATTCTTTCAGGGATGGGGACTGGTCATCACCTCTTCTGAAAGGGTGGCTTCGAAAGATCGTGGCCCAGACGCTGATATAATGCGGCTTTCGTCTCTCTATGTATAGTAAAATTGGCTGATTTCCAAAATAAAATCAATCCTCACTTTTAAATAGAGTGAATGAAGAGGAATGCTACTGGCTACTAAAATGGGCATGACCTATCCACAACTGTAAGAGAGCTCAAGGCTAAACAGGAAGTCAATTTGCCAGAAGTGAGATCATCACAAAGCTAGCTTAATGAAAAAGGCTTCTAAGTATAGTAAGATGTGTGGTGCTGATGCTTGTTTAGGTATATGCATAAGAGACACTGGTTACGTCTATATGTTTTCTGCGGATACTTTGGGATTTTAGGGATTTGTTGGATTACAGTTAGTATCACTCCCCTGGTTTGCATGTCTCGTCAATTGCTGATTTGCTTAGAGTTTGTATTATCCAGCCCCAAGTCAGATCACTGACAAGGATATTGGCAAGTTGGGAGACCAAGACCTATCTTCCGCTCACTAGAGGCGGACCCAGAACGACCTGGATTAGCACAGGATGCTCCGTGGGACTTTCATCTAACTAACCAACCTACTTGTGATTTTAAGAAATGGCCGCATCATTTGCCTAGCCTTTGTCTATCTACAAAGAGAGATGACAGAAGCCGGCTTATAATTGGAGACCTGAAGTTAGACAGCAGAGTAGGCCTAATAGTACTCCTCCTGTGTCCATAATAATATGGCGAACTCCCACATCTTATTATTTACAGCTTTCTGCCTCCTGTCTGTGTTTGCATGGAAGAGAGCCGTAACAAATTCCTTGAAAACATCCAGCTCATCAAAATCATCGATACAGAGTGGTTCAATCCTTCCATGTCGCTTGACAGCAAACTCCCTCACATGTCAGCAGCGCACAGACAGATAGTGTTAGTTTTAGGCTCAATGATTTCTACAACACTCATAATTGGTTGATAGAAGCCTATTAAGAAGCACATTTTGCAGATCTTAACTGGCTGAATGAGCAGATTAAGTTAATTTTGCGCCTAGAGTCTGACTAGAAAGTAATTATTCTAACTAGGCCTCGCCACGGGTCGGGTTTGGACTATTATTATATTAGCATGTCTAATACTTAAGAAAAAGAAAGAAAGAAGAGATAGAGGAAGGACTGAAAGAAAGAAAAGAAAGAAAGAAAAGAAAGAAAGAAAAGAAAGAAAGAAAAGAAAGAAAGAAAA